AAGCTGCTCAGAAAACACTGATATCAGTCATATGTGGAACAATCAGGTGGATGGATTTTGGAGGGAACTGATGTGGCAGCTTTTAACGCTCTGATGATTCATGCTGTCACACTGAACCAGGCGCTGCTTTACGTCTGTTTCATTCTGCTTCAAGCTCGGGGTCCTTTGATGACGCACTTTTAGCTGGAGGTTCTATGAGCAAAGCATTTCTCTGTCGTCTGCAACTGCTATTTCTGTTAGATGTCATCTGCGCAAGTTAATAGTGAGGCTGGCTTCTGCTCAATTAACTGCTCACTAGAGCTTCAATCGACCTGACCTGACCCGAGACTGCCCCGAACCCGAATATCTTAAAATAAATGGCGTGAATAGTTTATTACAAGCTAAAGTAAACTACACTGTACATATACTATAGCCCCAACCCAGCAGGTTGGGTCGGGTCCAATCAGGTTTGGGCAGAGAATCAAAGCTCTACTGGTCAGCACACTACTCTCTGCACATAAACTCACCTCTGTAGTCACTTGTATTCATTCCAGCATTCTTTACACTTCGTGCACTCTTACACTACATGCACATATAGTACATAGTAACAATCTGACCTGTATAATGTTTGTTGTTCAGCTATTGCCCGTGTGAAACAGCTACATGTTTGAGTTTGCTTCTATTTGTTCAGCTGTATGTTCAGTATCTGTGTGTATCTGTATGGTCCTGTAAATGTGTTCTCTTCACTGTGTGGAAAAACTGTCAGAATTATTGGTAACCTGAGTCAGGTTTATGCTGGCAACATGAATGGTCGATAGTTAAAGTTAATTCTGATTTAATATATTTCCTCATACAAAGTTTCATCATTCATCATCGTTCCTGGGGTTCCCTGTCCATATTCTGAAACACACATTCATCTACTGCTGCGCTGGATAGTAAAGTCAGAACAAAACAGCCAAACAAAGGTGTTTTACTGGGTTCATTTCATAAATGAAACCGCTTTAGTTGAGTATAAGGGGTTCTGAAATGCTTCTAAAAAAAGTAAGTTATCATTGCATCAGTTTTGGGGTCCAACTTCTGTTGACAGCCATCTAAAACAAGGACTCGTACTGTACAGACATACTGTGGACACAATAATATGAGCGACAGCACAACCGAAATCATATCCAGAGCAACAACCCTGCAACTAAATCTACCTTTGTGAAGCCTGTAGTGTTCAGTTTTATTCAGACTGTGTCAAAAACTGAACTCAGTGGAAACTTGTCATGCTGTTTTATTTGTAAATAACTGCATTTAACTGGAATGCTCCCTTTTGTTGTTTTGAGTCGTTTCACTTGTAATTAACACTGTGTTCAAACACTGTCTGGATCCAACTACTTTCTGGGTTACTGGCTTTTTTCTGTGGCTTCCACCATGGGAGGATTAAAATATTAAACTTCAAAACTTCAACCACCATCTTTAATTAGTTCAAAGGCATTAATCAGCAAAAAAAACTTTAATCTGTTGAACTGCGCTTTACTGTTGTTTTTCCATTTTTCCAGTCTGCCCTGAATGTACCACCCACACCTGTGTGACTGTCACCTGACGGCAAACAAACGCACCTAGCTTGCGTTTTCCTCTGCGCAAATATGACCCTCCTAGGCTTCTGTAACTGTCGCTATGAAGGCCACAGTTAGTGGTGTTACACACAGCCTCTAAAGCGTTTATACGGCTGTTCTGCTGAATGGTGACAGGGCAGGGATGAATAAAACAAGAGCTCCCACACACACCAAACCTCATTCAAAAATTAACCATTTTTAAAAGGTCTCCTCCCTGCCTGCTCCCCCTCCTCTAAGTTTTCATCTGTTGTCAGCTGGAAGCATCACGCCCTGCCTGCCACAGCTCCCCTCGGCCTCCCTTCATCACCTCCTCCACCTCCTCCTCCTCCTCCTCACCTCCTGTATGACGGCCGGCTCCAGGAACAGGTCCTCCCCGTCCTCCAGCTCCTGGAAGTCGGTGTGCGCCGGCGGAGGGTCCCTGGCTGTGTCCGCCATGTTCGCGTCGTTCCTGCGGTTGATGGTGATGATAGCTAACAGCTAGCTAACAGACACACACACACATATACACACACACACACCGACAGACAGAGCAAACAGTCGACTGACAGAGTGAGAGAGGGAGGGGAGGGGAGGGAGGGGAGGGGAGGAGGAGCGGGGAGTCAGGAGGTTTTCCCAGCTCTGTCATGTGACTAACTGGACTCCTGATGGGAGCCAGAGAGGAGAGAAAAGGGAGGAGGTCTCACTCTGTCGCGTGTTGTAGGTCGTGTCCTCATGCGGTTTCTGGGAATTTGGGGTTTTAACTGAGCTAATTGACTTTAGAAAGAAATAAACGAATGTACTGAATAATAACTAAGTTCATTTAACATGAAATAATTGAAATAACCAAATCAAGGTAAAGATGATTTTGTAGGCTATTTTTATTATATTTAATATATTTATATTTGATATAGTTCTTTATTGTCACGTACTCAGCAATTACAGTGAAGCAGTCCTGGCTCCCTCCAACAGTGCTCATACAGATATGTATAAAAAATATGAATAAAGGAAAATCTAATACATACCACAGTGCAACAGCTCAGCTAAATAGAAATATATATATACATATTCATGTATAATGAAATATAATACTGTAGTAACTAGGAGAGTAATGGTAACATGTAAACTGTTATGTAGGCTAAGTTGTGCAGTATGTACAGTAGGTAGTATAATGGGGTTGAAGATGGGAGTGCATGTGCAGATGAACATATTCTAAAAATATGAAACAGTCTTGTAGTATCATTCCTTAGGGGATACAATGTTACAGAAAATAAAATGACAGGGGTAAATGAATAAATAATAGAAATGAACAGAGTAAAATGTGATAAAATAAAATCAAAAACTGTTACAAACTAGTACAAAGTGTTTAGTGGGGTGTGGTTTTGCTGGGGGTCTTTGGGCTCATTAACTTCAAGTTACTTTTCCCTTTTCTAGTTCATCACACCAGCTTGTGGCACAGAAATGAACGTCACATGCCCTATTTGCCAAATTTATGGTGTCACTTAAAATGGGATGATGATGATGATTGGAAGTCAAAATAAACCCAATTCTTTTAACATATATCTTTGTTGAATAACTTTTATCCATTTAATTGATTACTTTTAGGAAGGCCTACTTGGATTTTACTGAGTCTGCTTTAATTTTTTAACTGGATTTTTACTTCTACTCCACAAGGCTATATAACAGAGGGGAATATTGTACTTTGTACTGCACTATTTATTTGACAGCTATAGTTACAATTAATGTGATCAAATATAAAATATGATGCTGTGTATAGATTTAACTACCCTAGAAGTATATAAAGCATTAAAGCACCTCAACCAGCTTTAACATAATTGTTTACATGTTAATGCCTCAACAATAATGACAGGACCCATTGTGACAATGAATACTTAATAATTTTGCGAACATTTTACTACATTTTTATTTGTATTTGAATATTAGTGGTGTGTTGTCTGACTGTTGATGTTTCTCCTGTTCGACAATGTTAAATAAAGTTTTTTAATTTAACAAAAATAAATAAAAAAAGGTTTCCATAGACGATCTTTGGGCCGTTTCAGACGGATCATTTTCAGCGACACACAATCATTTCCGTGTGGTTAGCCGATCACTGGCGGTAACTGTGAAGTGGAGTTTAACAACAGCTACTGTAGATCCACTTTTATTTTAAATGAATGCTTCAGGGCTCACATTGACCGCTGACGTTGGTAGCTGTTTGGATAGCTAACACGGTGTACGGTAGCAGAGTCAGAAACCCTAACCCAGCAGAGTTTCAACTTTTAGTTTCATGTTTGTAGTTCCGTTAGCATGGACGCTCACGGAGAAACAGCAAGCACGGCCTCAGAAGAAGAGCACGAAGTCCAACATCCCACACAGGAGGAGGAAGAGGAGGAGGAGGAGGAGGAGGACCACCACCACCACCTCGAGCTAGCGTTAGCAAACATGGCAGTGGCAGGTAGCTAACATCATGTCAGTGTTATTACAGACTCGTACAGGGCTAAAAGGGTGTGGTGTGCCATTCGTGTACTCTGCAGCTAAGATTGAATTCGATCAGGTGAATGGCAGAGACACACCCTGAGGAGCTGCTTTATTAGATCAGACAGCTTCCAGATAACTCCAAAGTAGATAAACAGGAAGTGGTGATGCTCCCTCTGTGGGGTGAACACAAGGTACAACGTCCTCATCATAATTCATCCAGTCACCAATAATGGTTTCAGAACTGTGGTCATTTATGAACGTGTTAGGATATGTTGGGTGTAGGTACAGCAGTGGTGGAACAGTAACTGTACTTGAATGTGTACTCTTGGACTTCTGTACATTTCAGAGGGAATTATAGTGCTTGTTATCCAACAGTGTATATAGTAATGTTAGTAATGTTTAACCAAAAATATTGCTTATATATTAATGTATGAATAATAATGATAAGCTATATAATACGTGCCCTTAAACTTAAACTTCAGCTTTAACTCCCCCCCTCCAGGTGAAGAGGAAACAAAGAAATACATAGACCATGTATAAAACGTATGCAACAATCCACCATGCAAGCTCACATAAAGGAATATACATTGACCTCATCCCCCACCAATTTAATGAGAAAGCTTGCCATCAGCTGACTCATCCTGATTAATTAACACTTTGAAGATAATTTGTTATCCTGTTAGACTTGAATCTCTGTTCAGATCAAATCAGGCATCAACATAATGATCTAATTAAACTACGTGACGCAGACTGTTCTAAAAACTAAAATCTTGCTTCCCTCCTTGTTTCCTTTCCCAGACCTGCTGCAGAAGGTGCAGGCTGTGCAGACGGATAGCACGACAAAAGAGTTGGGCATCAACACGGAGTCGGATTGGGAGAGTCAGGTGACGGCCATGTTGGAGTACAGCTCCAGCCTGACGGGGCAGTACGACAGTATGATGAGGAAGCAGGGCGAAGATGAAGTGTCACATGAGAAAGACAAACAACAACTGCATAAGAGGAAGGAGGAGGCCACCCGCCAGCACCAGGTGAGACTGACACACACACACACACACACACACACACACACACACTGTTAAAGGTACTCTGTCGAGTTTTTGACCACTTGTGCTGATGTGGTCCAAAACAGAGCACTTCAACAGAAGTGTATTCTACTATCTGACTGTGAATGTGGTTTCAGGCTCTTCTGGACAAACTGGAGTCTTTACGAGTTAAACTGCAGCTGAACAACTCCAAAGCCACCAGGAAGAACTTCCTAGCCAAGAAACAGGAAATGACCTCAGAGAAGAACAGAGCAGAAGAGGAGAGGAACAGGTAAAAACCAAGAACACCGTGGAAATGAATGAATTAATGAAAAGATAAGGGAAGGTGGTATAGGATTCAAATAACGTCTTTTTGGGGTTAAGAGGCATATTCATTTGTAACTATTACCTAACATCACGTCAGTGTACTTTATGTGCCTGCCGCTGCTTCACAATAAAAGCCTTCCAAAAGTGCCAATAATAATCGAGCCCCTTGAACACATTAGCGGTAGTAGATTCAACAGTCCATGTGATGTAAATGTTATCATCTGTCCATGTCCACGAGAGTCAGCGCACCCCAAATGTCGAAGATTCAAATCATCAGTTGAGAGTCTAATCTCATTTTGTCAGTCGAATCACTGCATTTGTTTTTCTTTTAGCTGTGTTATTGTACACTAATTGATAAACTGACTAATCATTACAGCTCTAGTAATAGTGTAAAATCACATAACGTCTCAATACAGTTTACAATAAAAGAAGACAATAACAGAAAGCGAAGATAACAGTGTAAAATCTAATAACTCAAACACATGTTCAAACAGCAGTTAAATACTGATGATGTATCACTTCAGTGGTACTGCTGTTGTAGTTTTAGAAAAGAAAATACCCAGAAACATGAGAACTCAACCTCACACTCTACCCTGTCTTTCCTCCTCCTTCCAGGCTGGCCAAAGAGCTGGAGGAGAGTGAGAGGAAGCTAACGGCGCTCACAGAGGAGCAGAGCGAGGAGCAGAGGAGGTGGCAAGAGGAGCTGGACGAGCTGAGGCAGGAAATGGAGCGTGTGAGGAAGGAGGCGCAGGAGGCCGAGCTGCTGGCCTTACAGGATGAGATCGCTGCCGTGGAAAAGCAGAGAGACGTCGCCATGGGTCACATCGAGGCCTGGCTGAGCGAGGTAAGACAGCACAATGTAGTGATCGCAAACTGATATTCAGTGAATGCAAATGTGAGTTTTTATGCTAAAAATAAAGTGCTGTACCAGGTGGGGCAGTACCTGAACGCTCTCAGGGTGGAGTTTCCACAGCAGTACCCTCACGAGAGGCAGAAGTGGGAGAAGAAGGAAGGTCTGGTCCGGAAGAACCAGGCAGAGCTCCAGAGCCGTTTTCAGGAGGTTCTGCAGCAGCTCCAGCAGGGTCGGGAGTTAGAGTCCCTCCCCAGGATCAACGTGCCGTCTCTGCCGCAGGTCCCCATGGTAAGACCCGCCCCCCACTGAAAGGATTTCAGTTAAGACGTGTGTATATATATATATTGTATAAGTTGAATTAACTGCTTACTTTTCTATTACTACTATTCAGTAAGAGTAGTAGTACTACGATACCCATCCATAGTTACAGTACAGGACATTCTTAGAAGTATTCAAGGGGTTTCACGTATTTATCTTTTATTTAATGACTTTTTTCTCTCCCACAGGCTGACCTTAGATTCAATCAGGTGATGCAGTCACTGGTCCGCCCTCAGTTCACGCCCCCTCCTCCACAACAACAAGTGAACCGACCATTCCTTTCCCAGAGACACCCACACTTCTACCAACAGTACCAGCCCCCTCACCATCCCCAGTACCGTCACCGCTACCACCTCCCACCACCCCAGCACCACTTCCAACCTCCCTTCCCACCCCGGCACCAACCTCCACAGCAGTTCCAGCCTCTCCCCCCGCCTCAGCCCCAGTTTCAGCCCCACATCAGAGTTCCACTGAGGGTGACTCCACCTCCGAGTCTCTCCCCCTCCCCGTCCCCTCCTGTTCAGCCTATCCACCCTGTAGTTCCTTCCCCACCTCCCCCCGCTGCTGCTGCTGCTGCTGGTGCTGCCACCTCCGCCCCAGCCGGCAAACTAGACAAGGTTCTGGAGAAGCTTGGAACCCGGTTCCCTCAGTGCAACAGGGCTCAGCTGACGTCCCTGCTCCAGCAGGTGAAGAGCTCCCGCGGAACACTCGCTGGCATGTCCATGGAGGAGGTCATCGAGCAGGTCGGCTTCAAGCTGGTACAGAACGAGAGGTCGGCCCCGGGGCCCATCAGCCGGCCCGCACCCCCCGGCCCCATCCAGAGGCCGGCCCCTCCCCCACAGAGAGCAGCAGCGGCAGGTGGAGGTCAGCCTGCCGGGGCCCGTAAACTCTGCCTGATGTGCCAAAACCACGTGGATCCAGAGAGCCGCCACCCACTGAGCTGCTCCCACACCATCCACAAAGACTGCATCAAAGTGTGGTTGCAGTCCAGCAAGAACAACTCCTGCCCCTTCTGTCCGGGGAAGTGATGGACAAACCCAGAAACTTCAGCAATGACTTTAATCAGTGCCATTCCAAACATTACTCTGATAGGTTCAACACTGAATGTCGACAGATGTGGCTTTTCAGTATGTTCATTTGATAAATACAACTAACAATAAAGATCAATAAAGAAAAGTAGTGAATTGTTAAGGCTGGTGAATAAAACAGGTACATCATTAATCATGTTATACCAATTGAGAGTACCGTATGCTAGCTAGAAGCTAATTCTATCATCATCATGGTGGGCTCGATATGGTTGGAAAACAAAAATCTGATCATACTTTTTTAAATTTTCAGTTTGAGTAATATATTTAGTTGTACTGTGTTGTCCACTCACATGCAGCCAAACAAGAACTTTGGCAAAATAAATATTGGGAAAATTTTGATTTTGAGAAAAAAGAAGAACTAAGAATAAAAAAGAATTTGACCAAACATTCGATACTAACTTTGACTAGACAGTTTCAAGAAAAGTGTTAAGGTTTCATACCTGGGCCTAATGCTAATTTTAACATGCCAATAGTGAGCATGTTCTATAACATTTACCACAGTGGCATGCTAAAATGTCTACAGATGACAGTTTATATGGTCATGTTTAGCAGAAGAGTATTAACATGACTATAGTTACTGTGGCAACATTCTCACAAAAATTCTAGCATGAACGTGTTACAGTACACATGGAAATCTTCCTTTTTCTTTGTGTGTATCAAAACAAGTTTATAAATGTGATTACATTTTAATTTGTGTGCGGATCAAACAAACGAGATTCAACTAATCAATGACCTTTAGAGTTCTCGGTTGGTGTAGTTTTTCCATTTTGGGCAGAGGCGTTTGCCCCTGCTACCACTCTTAATGCTATGTTAACCACATCCTGGTTTCAGGTCTGTACTTAATACAGAGAGATGACATCAGTCTTCTATTCTATGCCTTTAATGTGATAGGTGAAGATTTGGGATTGTTTTAACAAAAAAAAATAAATGAGGCCTCTTACTAAAATATGATCAATTATGTATAAAACAAAAGATTATATAGAAAGGTATATCTTTAATAACCGACTGAAATAAAGAGCTAGTTTTCTCTTTTGATGAGCTCAACTAAGTCCCTGACCACTAAAAATATGCATACATGCTATGAAGTCACACATACAAACATTCAGACGGAGAGATCAGCCCACAAACACTCCAAGAAACAACCTATTGCCTTTTAAAGATTCCCCTCCAAGACAAACACACACACACAGTCTCACATTCTAACTCCCCATGGACATCCCAGTCAGCCTTAATGGGAGCGCTGGGCGGTCGATGGGTGAGGTTAAAGGAGCCGTCGCTTCCCAATAAATATCAGCACACACACACACACGCAGTGCAGAGTGCTGAAAATGTGTCTATCTACTGTAGTTCAATGTGTATGTGTGAAATAATAGCTGTGTGTGTGTTTGTGGACTGCTTCCTGTTTACTGTCTGAACGTCCATCTTTCCTCTAACAAACTCCCTCTCTCTCTCAGTTTAAAGGTTACTCTCTCGGTTGGCTCTGACCGATTTTACAGGCAGCAGTGCCAATAAAAGCTGCTCGTCTCCCAGTAAAGCTGCTGTAATGAATGAAGAACGCTTCAGAAAATAAAGACAAAACGCTACTAAGGGTGGAGAGGTTGTTGGATCGGAGAGACTGCGAGGCTCTGCAGGAGGATTCAGTCCTGTGAGAGCGTGTGTTTGGGTAAAGGGCTGCTTGTTGTGTAAAGCTTCGGTGTCGGTTTGGGTTTGGCTATTTTCAAATGTATGTAATGTCATTAAAGGTTGATAGTGGATGAACTCAAGCAAAAATGATAGCCTCTGGTCTTGGGTTCAGGTCTCACATTTGGCAGTACAAGTTGGGATCGGTTAGGTCTGGTCTAAATATGATTAAAACACTCGTATCAAGGCAGCCATTCAGTATTTAGCCACATTAAAGTCGCGCCATCTTGAGCCCGATAAAATACACACACTGTACTGACAGATCCTGACTGGTAGCAAATAACAGTTCTGATTAATAAGCTACAGCAATGTGACATTAGTATTAGTGGCATTAGTAGTCTATTACTTCTTAATGATAGCAAGTTGCAAGTTGTATTTAATATTCATTTGTGGCAGGCATTAAGAATAATAGAAATAGTCATTTTCTCTTGCTGGTAGACTTTATGTGGGTCATATAGAGGCATCACTATTGTCTGTTTCATAACCAGTTAAAAACTCCTTGTAGTATGTAGTATTAAAGTAGCCCACAACTGAAATTAAATTGCATTTCTGTCTGCTACAGCAATTCATATGTGTTTTTATATCACTTGTTCTGTGTTCTCCTTTGAGAAAATATCAGAAACCATTATATATAAAATACCATCAAAGGCCAATCACATCTTGCATAAACAGTAAGGTCAGCGTTCTATCATTAGACAGAGCAGATTGTCACACTGACAGACAGCAACCTGCTACGCAACACAAGAACCAGCAAGAGCTTGCCGGACGAGCCTCCAAACAACGTTCACTGAGGGAAAGTGCGGCGCAAACGTCAGTTTGAGGGCTAGATAGCCAATCAATCAATCAATTGATAAATTGGCTTCTCAGATGTAGCACCTTAAACAACTCTTCACTACCACAACAACCAGCCACCTGCCCATCACATGTAGGCCACAGCGCAAGTTTGTTTTCTCTCGTTCCCTACAATGTAACACCACCACTCTCTCGTTCCTGAAGGTGTAACATTGGAGCTCTGGCTGCCTGCCAGCTGCTGTCAATCAAACACATACATGGATACGCCCCTCCAGCTGAACATTTCTGATATTTTCTCTTTAAAAATAAAAAACAACAAAAAACGTCTTTAAAAACCACGCTGATGTAATTTTTTTACTACAAAATGAATGACTAAATGAGATTTTAGTTGGACTTTAAGTAAAGCCAGTTCCTAATTAACATGGTGTTAGTAGTTCACCCACTAGCGTTGTGTGTAATCACTACGTCCACCTATTTGACATGCGGTAGAACTTTGCTGAGACACTTTCTGTGTGACTGTGGCTTTAGAGGTGTCGGTATGTGTTTTTGAACTTTGGACAGCTAGGGTCGCTGCTCCAGTTCTATCTTAAACAGAAAAAGCGTAATACAGATGTTGAAATCATATCTGATAGTTCCGAGTGTATGCTGATGTTGCTATGACGTATAGTCCTCCTTCCTCTCTGTTTAAAAGCTCTTTTTTACAGTTTAAAGTGTACATCCTAAATGCTCTGATGTGTAGCTGCACTTTGCAGCTGTACCTCCAGAGGTTCCTGTTAAAGATGGTCTGTATTGGTTTAAAACTACTTTTATCTCTTCTGCAGGCTGACTGTAGTGTTTTTTTTTTGTTTGTTTGTTTTTTGGCTGGTGTTATAGATCCGGCAGGGAGCGTCTCCTGGGTTCGGGGTATTAGTGATGGTCTGCTGTGTCTCCAGTGGATCCTGTGACAGCTCTAATGTCGGTGTGATTTACAGACCGCTGGACAAACAAGCATCATTACCGCAGCCTGTAAACGTGGGCCCGACTGACCGCTGCCAAAGTGGGGTCTGGGGACCCTCAGGGGCCCTTAAGAGGCTCCCGGGGGACCCCTCAGCGAAATGAGAGAGTTTTATTTGACTATTATTTCATTCAGAAGGAGATAACAGACTGAGTGAGAATGAGCGATCAGAGGTTTGTGTCTCTCTTGTCGTCTTCTCACAAAACAATAACAAAAGCCTCTCTGCTCCCAAACTTTTATGACACGAGGATCCATGCTGTGATGCATGGTGTCTAGTTAAAGGAAAATTCTGTCGTAAAAACACTTAACATGTTGTTAAAAACCAGCTGGTGGTGATTTGGTATATGCCGTCCATTTCACTGCAAAAGTTATTATCAAGTGAATTTGAATAATTAATAATAAAAGTTTTTTAAGTGCAATAACATTATTTCAACCTGCAAACCTGCAGTATTCTTTTTTTTCTTTCAAGACAAACATTTGTCATTTCCATTTTCAGAAAATTCTTGAAACAAACGGATTTCTATTTAAAAAATCTATAAAATTTTTATTTTTATTTTTATTATTGTCTTTTATTTTTTATATTTTGTCTATTATTGGAGCAGTTCTTTTCACAAAACAAAAAAGGTTTAGCTATACAGGACCATGAAATAATTAATTAAATACTGAAATAATTATATATGTATTTTACATAAAATGAATTGGTATTTTAATGAATTAATGACACATTTAAGTTATTATTTAATGGTGTATTTATTTATTTAATTTTGGCACTTTTAGTCCTCCATATTTAGCGACCTCAAACATCAACAATAAATAACATCCTTTCATGTCAAGACCCTCAGAAAAAGGTTTTTGTGACCTGGTTTTTCCGCCCTAAAGGTCCCCTCACCCCAGGTAAATCATTAATTCAGCTTTATCCAGCACTCAAAGTGCAAAAGGCAAGTGGGAAGTAACTGATAGCATTCAGTTATATATATCTTAACAAATGACCAAATTCACACCCTATTGTATGAATACGGCAGCAACTCCTGCACCCACAACATCCAACACTCATCTTGAAAATTAAACTCAGATTATTCTTCATTTGTGTTTTATTTTTGTTTAAAACTAGTCAAGCTTTAACTTTAAATGATATCAGAATACCAATATCAGTTTAAATCAGAGCATCCATCGAATTGAGGGTAGATGCACAGTGCACACTTTTAAAATAATTGAAATAATACCTGGTAGTTATTATTATGACAGTTATGCTGTGACATTTTGACATCTGTCTCCAGAAAAAAGAAATACTCAAAGTCACTGGTTGACAGGCTCAAACTGTGACTGTGTCTCAGTTCGGGGCGGTTTCCCCTGATGTAAAAACAGAAATGTAAACGAGATGTTCACTGTTGTTATTTCAGGTCTGTATGAGGAGAGGAAAGCAGCAGTTTATTAAAGAACATCTCTGCTGAAAACCTCCCGCCTCCACACAAACAACAACTTTTAAGAAATTGAGGGGGGAATCAATCATCTCTTTGAGTTTTAACGCTCGTGTGTTTTGGACATTTTACAGAATATCATCAACAATCGGTCTTGTCTCGGGGGTTACAAACTGTTTCTGCACTCAGAAGGAAACTGAGCCCACT